ACCCCTCCGGCGGACATAGATTCCACCAGGTCGCCTGTTGACTCTTTTGGCACCTGGTGCCTCAGGGGCCAGCCCAGGCACCAATATTATTTCTGGGGCTGATTCTAGGGGTCAGGCATCATCGCGTGCTGCTAGCCCCAAAAAAAAAGCCAAAAAGCTAAAAGCGGTGTAGTTGCCAATTGCGCTGCAGTTCAAGTGCCCTATATTGCTCTAGACGCAATGCGTGAAACGGCTGACTGAGGTGGGGTGGCGCCTGATGTAGTGAAGTCGTTGGAGATGTTCCCTGCCCCAGCAGTACCTGCGTCAATCCACTACAAGCTCTATTTCATATATACCACAATTCATCGCTTGTGCATGCAAAACGATATGGCGCCGCCTCAAGATTTCGGTCCGCACACGTTTTTTTTTCAAGTGCATAGTTCAGCGTTGTTTAAACGCAAGCAAGGCCAGCAGCTAGTCTATTTTGCTTGCTCCCGCTGTTTTTCAAGATACTGTTCAGCTAGCCTTTGGCATGTTGGCCTCAAATCTTCCTCAGCGAGCTCGGTCAGGTGCGGAAAGACGAATGTCCAGAAATCGTACTGCGAGAAAAGCACAACCAACTGACAATCAACCACACACGGTGCAACACATATATGCATGCATGCCCTCCCCTTCCGTCCTGCGACTTGCAGACCCCATAGTAGATCGTCGGGTTGATTTTCCTAGGCTGCAAGCTCGGCGCAGCGCGTGGAAACTAATGCGAGGTTTGCTGCGATATGCATTCTTCCATATGGACGTTATATAAATATATATATATATATATATATATGCGCAATGCGTTTAAATATATGTGTGTGTGTGTCCAACTGTATTGTGAAATATACACCTGCATGTATGCATGCATGCATGCATGCACGCATGCGTGTGATACGTGAATTAAGCCAAGGTACTCCGTCCATACAGCTCTGATCGTGTCAAACCGGGCTTTGGCTGGTTCCTTTTTCGGCTGCGGGCGGCGTGCGAAATGAATTTTTGATTCCGGTGCGTCATCAGGCGGATTTGCTGCAGGGCGCTTCTTAGCTTTTGGCCCATCTGCAGAGCCGGCAGAAGGGGGCTCTGCAGGTGTATCTGGCTGGCTAGGAACTGCAGCAGGGGCTGTAGGTTCATCTGGTTGCGCTGCAGCTGCGGCACTGGCTGGCTGGGCAGGTTCATCTGGCTGGGAAGGAGTGGCTGCAGGTTCAGCAGGGGCAGCGGCTGCAAGCTTGCACTTGGCTTTCGGTTTGGCTTTGGGCTTGGCTGTCGCTTCAGGCTTCTCTGCGCGCGCTTTTCCTTTCGGCTGCGCGTCAGCGACCTGAACACAAGCATGCACATAGGGAACGTTGTGACACGCATGCGCTTGACTGAAACACAAATGCGTGGTTTCAGCTAGCCTGGGCAGAGGGGTGCAAGAAATTTCTCTCTCGAATCAGTTTCTCGGCAAGGTCTCGGTCACGGGCTTCAGCAGAGGGACTCTCGATGTCCAGCGGCTCCTTGCGCATAATGGGCGTAGGTGGTGCTATAGAGAGAGAGAGAGAGGGAGATATAGATATAACTGATGCAATTCTGCCATTAGATCAGTGAAATGTGGATCTATCTAATGGCAGAATAGACATTGAAACCGAAAACACACGTATGTTTGTTTCGCATGTATACTACATATACATATATATATATATAATTATAAAGTACATGCATGTATATTTTGTAACAAACACAGCTGTCCTCCCCAAAAAGAGCTTTGCATGCGCTCTGGTAGCATGCCTTTGCAGCCTGCGCGCAAACTGATGTGGATCCCGTGAGCAAACACGTATCAAGTCTGCTGCGCAGTCCAGCAATATGCCACGCCTTGCGCTTGTCGGTCTCAATTTCCGTAGTTGGCGGAGTCGTTGACCTGAGCCGCGCAAACAGGCAGTTTAATATATGCCACAGTTCTGAGTTTGCAGTGGGGGCACGCATCGCTAGCTTGCAGATCCCGACCAGGAAGCCTGCGCTAAATCAAATCATTATGAGTTAGCGCACGAAATCATGGGATCATGTTTCACTAATGACACGGACGCACCTAGAAGATGAGGGCGGCTCTGCAGAGTCGACAACTTCAACCTCAGACGAGTCCTCGCCGACCTCCTCCTGCGTATCCTCCTTCGGAGCCCGAAGGATCCTTAATTTGCGTGCGACACATACTTTGGTTCAAAACACGTGAGTGGCATGCAGCAGTCCAAGCCCCCAACAATTGTTTGAGCTGGTCCACCTTCGGAAAGTATGAGGACCTAGGCCGCTCAGGTTATAAGTCATGAAAGGAGCGCGTATTTCATGCAGCCTAGTAACTTGCTCCGCCCGGCAAGTGTGCGGACCCTGCTACACATCCTCTTGAGGATGGAGGCTAGGAGGGCTTTGTCCTTCGGCCCCAGGTCTTGAGCAACAACGAATACCTCGGCCATACTGAACAAATATAGCTGCGCCCCAAATAGTAAGATTGATATATGAGGCCCTGGCTGCAGCCTCAAATGCCCTTGGTGCTGGTGTGCGGGTCAAGCCTTGGTCTCCTGGGCAGGCGGCAAGGTCTTACCCGCAGAAAATTGCTTTTGTTTATTAAGCCAAAATTCGGATCAGCGTCAAGCACACATTGGCCCAAACAAAACCTGCGTTCTCCATGAACTCCATAGTGATAGGCTTTGCCGGGTTCTCAAAATTGTCAGCCCCCTCGAGGATATCCTTCAAACCTGCAGTAAAGCACATGCGTGGGGGTGCAGTGTGTGTATATATATATATATGTGTGTATATGTGTATATATGTATATACATATATACAAATATACACATATATATATATATACATATGTCAAAAAATGCGATTTTGAGGACCGGGCTGGTAGCAGATCCCACCAATGGCTTGAGCACGTTTGCCAAGTTGGCCGCAAACTGTGCAGGGACCGATGCGAAAAATCGAAATTCCAGGAACTTTGCATGCTAGCCCAGGCCTGGGCATCTTAAAATTTGACCAACGCCTGGGCGCAAGCGCACGTGCACCAAACAAACGCGTAATATCTATTTTGACTCTTAGTCCAGCGGTCCTCGCGTGATCCAGGCAGATCTTCAGCTGCAGGCTCACTCATAGTCACACGCCTGATTTTTTGGTGGGCTGCGCATGCATGTGTATATGCAGGCGTATTGTGTGCAATGCAAACTTCAGCGCCCACTCAGTACAAGGCCGCTTGTACGGACCTGGAGCTGTAGGGGCAGGGGGCGCGCGCTCGTTTCGCCTTGCTGCTGCTCGCTCTTGCTCCTGCTTGTTGGGCAAGTCTTTTGCCCAGTGCTTTCCAGGTTTCAGTGCTACTGGCGCAGGGCTGCTGCTCTTGCTAGTTGCTGCTGCTAGTGCCGCCTGCAGCTGGTTGCACTGCTTGGGCTGCTGCGGGCTTTTGCTGACAGCTTGTGTTGGCGCCTTGCTAGTGGTGCCTGGTGCCTGCCCCCCTAGTTGCCCCAAGTCCATTGCGCCACCTGAATATTTGAGCCGCACGCGCAGCAGGGAATGAGCACACAATATGCTCATGACGCTACGCTGTTGCGTTGCAATACAAAAAATGACATGTGCAGGCATGCGCATGCTCACCAAAAACTGCCAACTGCAACGTGACACAGCGGGCGCACTAGCGCAAAGGATCTTCAGCCGTCGCGTAGGGCCGACATCGCGCGGCATGCATGCCTGAAAAGCATTTTCCACGATTCAATTTTGCAAAATTGAATCGTGGAAATTGGTAGGTGGCACACGTGTTTTAGAATGAACGGTTAAGTGGCACAAATCTATATCAGGTGCACATTTTTGGGGGCAACAGATCTGAAACCAAGCTACACACTTAAGATTCGTAGAGTTACACTGCATATAATTTATGTGTTGCAGGGCTATCTTGCAAAATTACTTGTTCAGCTGAGAGCAAATCGTGCGTGCGGCCTGCGCAAACTCTCACAGAGCCATAGAGAACATATCAATCTCTGCCCTAGGACTGTCAAAACATGACAATGTCATTTTTGGTCATAATCTTGACATGTCATGTTTTTCCCTTGAAGTTCGTCATTGTCATGTTTTTTGCCAACGTCAAGAAAAAGTTGTCAACTGATTCTCCAGGATTGCAACCGAGCCACTAGACCAAACAAACAAAAACCAAGACAAACTGGAAAGTTGTTTATTGCTGGTCTATTGCGATGGCGGCCAAATGTCGCGCAACATTTCACCTAGACGAGAAAAAACAATCCTACGCATGACTGGAAAGTTGTTTGTTTGGTTTTCTGCTTTGTTTGGTTCGAAACATGCCCAGAGAACTCAAATGGGATAAATGTTTTTTCTTGATGGTTTTTAGTGGGGAGTAGGGCCAAATGCCAGACATGCTAATGTTAGATGTTGTTGAACCTGAAAAAGGGTAGGGGATACCAACTTTTTGAGAGTTGGCTTTGAATGAAGAGGAAGCAGATGCAAACCACAAGGATTGTGTAATTTGGGAGTCCTAACTTTGAAGACTCTCAATGGTGCGTGCCGTTCGTGAGGCTAACTTGTTTTGGGCAGCATGCCAGGAATTTCAACGCGCAGCCGTTTCCTATGTCCCAATCACTGCCCAAATGCCGACTCGAGGTACTTGGTGCTCTAAGTCGGCAGCCTAAGCGCAAGCTCCACCAAACGAATCTCCCTTGGAAATTGAGGTGGCGCATTCTTTGCCTTGCTTGCGTTGTGCGGGAAACAAGGCGGTCTTAGTAGCCAGGCCGTGTTTAAGGAAGTAGATGTCCAAAAGCCCACCTGTGAACTAGCACGTGTGTTGGCAAGCGGACACTCGCATCCAAGGAACCCTTTACCATCAATTCCGAGCCCATATTTCTCAGACCCCAAACCCCAAACCGCCGCGGGGTCCAAGAAACGGATTGCTTGCACCAAAGGTCCTTCATGTGCAGCATGCTGGTAGATGAATCTGGGCCTTTGGGATGCTTGGAAGCGTGCAGGGCCATGGCTCTGCACCGATTTCGGTGGGCACAGTGGGGCATCCAGAGCCTGGAGCTCAGCGCGAAATGTGGCCTGATTTGCTCAGATAGATCAGCTGGTTTTTCCGCGGCTCGTCTTCTTTTCAAAAGGGCGCCTTTAAACTCAAGTAAAACTCAAGTACCAGCAATAATAGATGGACAAGGCGCCCGCAGCCCTGCGGTTCCCTTGTTTACAGTTGTGGCTTCATGTTGAATGGCAACAAAGGACGAAAGGTGCGGTCAATTTGTTGCTGTTTTGTCAGACTAGCATTTGGATTCAATCACACCCACAGCATGATGCACGGTTTGACATTTCATGAAACCGATTGCCATACAGGCTCCAACTTTACTGGAGGTAAAAGAACCGCTGCCCGCTCGACATGGTAGCGGAGCCGGTGCTGTAAGACCTGCCCTTGAGCAGGCAGCCCGGCCAGGGAGAACCACGACGGCCCGATCAGGGACCTCGACCACCAGGAGAGCAAAAGTGCCCTGGCTACCGATCCTCCTGCTGCTGGGCACGATCGCAGAAAGCTCTGGAGCAGTTCCGAGCTGGACCCAGGAGGTTGTCAACATCGGTGGGCCTCAATTCGAGTTTGGTGGTCGGTGGAAAGTGAGAAGGTTGGAGGTGCAGCCGGCGCAAGTCAGCTGCGACCTGGACGACCTAGGTGGCCTTGAGAAGTATAGACACAAGGCGGACTATACGGAGGTGAAGAGGATCTATTTGCAGATCTTTGTGGAGGTTGTAAAGCGGACCTTCATCACGATGGCCGAGCAGCTGCAGCAGATCAGAGAGGTGCTGGATGGCCTGACCCGCAACCAGGAGCAGAATCAGTGGGCCCGGAATGTCAAAGGGCCGGAGGTCTTCAAAGCTGACACCCGCGAGAGCGAGTTGAAGCAATGGGAGGACTGGAAATTTACTTTGGAGAACTGGGTCAAAGCGGTGGACCCAGAGATGTACCTGGACATGAAGCGGGTGGCCCAGAACGCTGAGGAAGCGATCGATTGGAATGAGCTGAGCGATGCGAGAAAGGTGAAGAGCTTGAGGCTCTTCGGAGTGCTGGCTTCGTATCTACAGGGCCGGGCACTCAAGCTCATCAAGCACACGCCAGAGGAGAACGGCTACGAAGCATGGAGGCTGCTGCTGAGAGACATGCAGCCGAGCACAAGGCAGAGGGCATTGGCTTTGATGACCCAGCTGTCAAGGATCACCTTCGCCCCGAACAAGTCCATCATGGAGCAGCTCCCGGCCTACGAAGCCCTGGTCAGGGAGTATGAGAGAGTCTCGTCTCAGGTGTACCCTGAGGACTTGAAGGTTGCATCAATCCTTTCCGCCTGCCCTGTTGGTGTGAGGACGCAACTTCAGATGATGGTGAGCGAGGAGACGACGTTCGAGTCGCTGAAAGGAAGGATCGAACAATACGAGGCGATCACTACGAAATGGAGCACGGAGAACGTGCTCGGCTTGCCCAGCCAGACGACCATGGAAGGTCCGACTCCAATGGAGGTGGACTACATTGGCGGCTATCAGAAGGGCAAGAAGGGCAAAGGAAAGGACGGAAAGGGCAAGTACGGCAAGGGCAAGTCCAAGAAGGGGCAGAGCTACAACGACTTCAAGGGCAAGGGCAAGTCCAAAGACGAGAAGGGCAAGTCCAAAGCCAAAGGCAAGCAGGACCGAGGCAAGGGCAAAGCCAAGGAGCAATGCTGGAACTGTGGAAAGCTAGGCCACAGATCCAGAGAGTGCTGGGCCCCAAGGAACATCAACCAGGTGGAAGGAGATTGGACCAACTATCCTGCTTCGCCGCTGGCATCGGGTACTACCGGAGGTGGATCTACGTCAGGTGGAGCAACGAGTGCGGCGAGTTCATCAGCAGGCACGGCAACCGTCAGGATGATCAGGCTGGTCACGCCACCCGACATGAATGAGACGAGGATGTTCGACCTCACCGCCGGAGAAGATGAGTTCCTGGGGATGATCCAGGAAATTGATGACGAGAGCTACTCGGTGCTGATGGTGAAGGGCGAGAACGATGGGCCATACTACGACGCCTATGAGCCCGCGGTGGAGGAGATTGGAAAGGCCGCGGTGGTGGCTATGGACTTGCAGGACGGCAACTTTGAGACGGAGGAGGAGACCTACCAGGTGAACATGGTGACGAATGAAGAGATGGATCATGGGTGGTCCAAGGTGTTGATGACGGTGGACTCCGGAGCGGACATTTCAGTCCTACCGGAGGAGTTTGCTGGAGTTGGAGAAGAAGCCCATGGTGGTGGACAAATCATCATGAAGGACGCTCAGGGCAACATCATCCAGCAGAGCGGAACGAGAAAGGTGAACTTCGCCATGATGGGCAAGGACGGCATCCCGGTGAACTTTGTGGAGAAGTTCATCGTGGGAAAGGTGAAACACCCCATCCTATGCGCTGGACGTCTCCTTCGCAGTGGCTGGGAGATGAGAAGAAGTGAGGATGGGCTGAACCTCTGGCACAAGCAAGGGGTGGAGATCCCATTGGAAATGAGGAAGAACAGCCTACAGGTCGTGGCCGAGATCTGCTCGGTGGAGACTGAGGACAACGAGCACGAGGAGGAATGGAACACGGTGGAGGTTTGTGCGCTCGAGGGCTTCCTGGGCGCGAGCTTCAAGGAGCTGGACAAGACCCCCGGCTGGCACGTATTGCCAAATGGCCTGGCGGCCTACAGTGATCCGGTGGCCACACAGCTGCTGGACCCGTCAGGCACCTTTGAGTGGAAGGCGAGGATGACCTTCATGAAGACCAAGGATGGCAAGTGGATGCAGGTCGAGAACGTGAGCGACTACACGGAGCTGGGGAACATGGCGTTCAGGCGTTTTGGCCCCACAGAAGATCCGCAAAGGACCATCACCGTGGTGGCCCCGGCGAAGATGAAGGACTACTTCGAGGTGGACTCAGAGGTCCCGGTGGCACCATTCCCCACTACGTTCAGGGAGCTCCAATCAGATGAGCTGGGCTGGTCAGATGAGGAAGTCGGAGTTGGAAGTGAGGAGATGATGCGAGAATCGCCAGCAGAAGGTCATGAGGATGAGGCAGCAGCTGAGGAGCGCGCTGGACAGCGCAAGGAGGTGGAAATGGATGCAATCAGGTACAGCCTCGACAACTCCCTGAAGGAACTGCGAGAAGGATGTGAGAGGCATGGCCTGCCTACCTCAGGGAGCAAATCCAAGCTGCTCATGAGGCTGGACAACTTCAGGATGGACCTCGAGGCCAAGATGCAGACAGAGATTGCGAGAAAGCTGTACCGCGAGAAGGAGCGGAAACCTGTGTCTTTGGGCATTCCAAAGAGGCCATCCCTGGAGCAGCAGAACGAGCACAACCTCACGCACTATCCTTTCGCCGGTTGGTGCCAGGCCTGCCTCAGCACGCGGGCAAAGGAGGAAGTCCACAGGAGAGATGCCCGGAAGGACGTGGAAAGCACTAAAACGGTGATCAGTTTCGACTTTGGCTACACCTACGTGGACGACTACGGCAACGAGAAAAGCCCAGAGGAGGTGAGAGATGCGGACGATCAGTATGGCACTGTGTTGTATATCGCTGACCATCACACGAAGGCGGTTCACGCGGTGCCTGTGCTGAGCAAAGGAGCCCCCAACCTCAAGTTGATGGTGGAGGAGCTGGTCAGGTTTGGCATGCAGGTGGCTGGAGGAGACCCCGTGATCTATCAGAGCGACGGGGAGAGGTCAACAAAGCAGCTTCTTCGAGCTGTTCAGCATTGCAGGGCCAACCTGGGCCTGGAAACCGAGATCCGCATCTCAGGAGTGCAGCAACATGCCTCGAACGGGCAAGCAGAGAGGACAGTGCAGAGTGTGAGAAGGCTGGCAAATTGCCTCAGGTACTACGCGGAGGAGCAGGCCCAGGTGACGATTTTGGGCAGCTCGCACGTCTACCCATGGAGCTTCAGACACGCTTCATGGTTGATCAACCGGTACCGCGTACTGGAGAAGGAACGGAGGACGAGCTTCGAGGTGTGGTCAGGAAGAAGGTACCAAGGCAAAATCTGCCTGTTCGGCGAGAGCGTCATGTACCGCCATCTCACGGCGTTCAAGGGTGAGCCCAGATTTGGAAGAGGCATCTGGGTCGGCAAATCACCCTGGACGGATTGCCACATCGTGCTCACACCAGGCGGTGCTGTGGAGTCAAGGACTGTGAAGCGGATCCCGGATCAGTTCATCGGCACCGACCTGGTGATTGTGAAGGGACTGCCTTGGAACTACTCCGCCTCCGGGGTGCTCATGAAGAAGACAGGGCCACGAAAGAGGATCGCATTAGCAGCTGATGAGGCAGAAGAAGGCGAGAAGATCGAGCTGGACAAGGCTGAGGAGCAGATAGAGGAGAAGAAGGCAAAGGAGGCTTCTGCTGAGCGACAGGCACGAGAAGCTGGGATGGCAGTGGCTCTTGGGCTGGCTACCCCAGGACTCTTCGGAGGAGGACAAACCCCAGCCAAGACTGGGTTGACCACCCCGAGGTTTGCAGAGAAGAGGAAAGCCGAGGAGCCCAATGAGGAAGGCGACCCAACAGCCACATCAAGCTCATCGGCACGAGCACCAGCAGAAACAGCAACAGCAGCAGCTCGACCAGAGCCCTGGGTGTTGAGGCAGATGCCTCCACCCCCAACAGCGGTGATGAGCGACCCGGGAGGAAGGAAACAGGAAGAGGAGGAAGAGAGCGCAAGCAGGGCGAAAGCCATGAGGAGATCAGAGGAGGCAGCGTTCCATGGAGCTCGAAGGCCAGGTGAGGATCTCAGTGGAGAGGAGTCACCGGCAAAGAAGAGAGGAGTTGATGAGTTCAGCATCAACGAGATCACGGTGATGCCCCATGGAGATAGCAGTGCCTGGGATGAGATCGAGAACATAGGCGAGCTCGATATGAATGATTGGGGACCGGAGGAGCCAGACGGTTTGGAGACGGTGGATGATGAGCTGCAGGTCATGGATTTCGATCAGGAGGAGATCCAAAGGATGGACGTGAAAGCCGAGGAGGAAGAGATATCGAGGCTT